GTAACTCATCCCGACTTGCGGCACTGTCAGTCAGCCCGATAATAATTTTAGTGCTTTTTTTACAATCATTAATTACTTGTCCCCACGATCTCTCCGTTTTACGTCGTGTACAATAAATTATATTGTGGACGTCTACGTACTCCATAATATAATAGTCGACGTGTAGTCGACTATAGTCGACCATAATCATAAAGTCTACTCGTCACTCCATCGTCTACCGTGGTTTGCGGTAAATTTGTGGATAATATATAAACACGAATATAGATAATATGGTATGTACGTATTACTCGACTATTCGCGCCTGATATAATTCGCGAGGTGTTTATGTATTATGTACTTTCTTGGACATTTATACACAGTGACCACACGTCAAGTCCGACAAGATGAGTAGTTTGCTCACACACCATATTACATCGTACGAGATAAATATTTTCTTTTTGTAAATGAAATGCGAATCGCATACATATTTTATACTTTTGTATTTATAAAAGTAGGAATAAAAATAACCGTTTGTCCATAATTTTATTCACGCACGAAAATAATAATATGTACTAAAAACTGCAGTATAGTGATTGAGTGACGGAGTCGAGGTGAAATCATAAATTTGGGAATAATAATAACAACAATAATAATAATAATAAAAATGGTATCGCGTGTTACCGACCTAATAAATCTATTGCACACGCATTGGACGGCGGTGGCCGAGTTTTTCATTCGACGGTGACGCGCATACACATCAAGGATTTTTTTTTTCATTTTCCCCACACCGGGAATTGGCGAAAAAGCGACGGACCCCGCGACATAATCAGATTACCTTCGATGATTTATCGCTTCTCCGATCCCTCCAACTCCATCTCGTATACATACATATTTATTACACTGCATTATAAATTATAATATTATTTATTATATTTTTCATGTAAAAATCATTTTGTATCATTCGTATGTACTCGAACCAGTGAACTCGTGCCCATAATATTATATATACACGCGCATGATTATTCGATTTCTAACGAACGCAATCCGATAATGTCATACATATTGTGGAAATAAAATATAAAAATATTAATATCATACGTGTTGTATTATAATATTCATACGGATATATTGTAGTTGCGTAATGTAGTAATACCTGCTGTAACGTTGCCAGCCGCAAACTCCGTACACTGTTAGGTCCATCGGGATCTCCGAGTCCAGCTATCATCGGTCCAATTATAATACGGGTTCTATTCACCGCCGCCGCCGCCGCCATTCCGTTTTCCGAACTGTATAGGTATATATTATATTATATGCGTGTTTTATCGTTGTCCGGCGCAATCGGCTAATTATTATTAATCCCGTAATGGCGTAGGCGTATCCGGCCCGTTATAATATTATGGTGGTGTACAGGTATACGTATAATATATCTGTATGTACGTATTATGTATAACAATATCGTTTGGGTCGATTTTGATTCGGTTAATTAACGTTTCCATTATTAATATTATTATATTATTCAGCCGCGCAGCCTCTGCGCGGGTCCCGACCGAATACATAATCACAACGTACGTTATACACGAGCAATTTACCGGACAAATATGTACATATAATAATAATATGTATACACGTTTATGTGTAGAGAGAATTGTGAGGTGTACGGATATTGTAGGTATATGCCTACATGTGTACAATATTATATATAGGTAAGCCGCGTGTGCGCGTATTTTCCACGGGTATACAATATAAATGCACTGCAGCAGCTATATATAATCGTATTTACACGCACAATTTCCCAAAGTTTCCGGGTAATTACGCGCGCGATTTTTCAAACCCAAAAATACGGGAGAAATCGTGCTACATATTTTTATTCTGAAATGTAAAATACGTTACAAGGTACATATATATCCGCCTCCAAAAATCCATCAATTTTATATATTATATGTAGGTTATGTAGATTGTATAGGTGTATTGAATTCGCATTCTCAGTGTTGTAATAAAATGTAATATATGTATTCATTTTTAGTTAACATAAATGTACCTATATAAGATATTTATACTTCTATTGCGCGTGTTTGAATGGTCGTCGTGCTATTGGTGGGGTGTGTAAGACCGTAAGGGGATATTTACCCTAACTATATTGTAAATTTGCCTATAAAACAACGAAATCAAGAAAAAAAATCGTTTTTGACTTATACTAACTTTTATGATGCACTGCTACGTTATTACATCCCCGCGATGATGTCGAGTGATTTTCAAACACGCATGTAAAGTTTATAATGACCGATTTTCATTTAACTGAATCTATAATAACGTACGAGTATATTATATATAGTTATGCCGGTTTACGGTCACATATAACCTGTAATTTCATACAAACTGTGAATTGTATTTATATATTATAAATTTAACAGATTAAACAGGGTTTTGTATGAGCATTTTTTTTTCGAGTTAATGGGCCACATAGTGTCCATAATAGTAAAACTGCAAGTTTTGATGGCCGCACGTGGTTTTTTGCCCAATTTAGTCGCGTAGTAAAATTCCGTCGAAAACGATTGCACACCAACGAACATATATGTATATATACAGTATAAACAATAGATATGCATCCCTTTCCGGTCTTATTTAATTTGTCCTGGGGTAGATTATTTTTTTTAATGACATAACCCGTTGTTACGGTATATTCACGTATATATACACACGACACGACGACGGCGGAAGTGGCGGGAGGATGGGTTGGCAGCACAAAATGTAAATTAATACCGTCGGGGGTGCAGGTTAAAAAACTTTTTAACCGCACATTGCGCGCGCTTTTTATTCAAATGACAAACGCCCTGGAGAGCACTTGGCCCGCCTGTTTTAAATGTATAAAATGATGATAATAAAAACACGAGATGAAAAAAAAAATGATTGCGAATGTGTTGAGGTGAGGGCACGTACACCGCGTAAAAAAAATCGTCTCTATTGCGCGTATATAAAAAGAGCAGTTTTCGTGTATTTTTTTATTTTTTATTATTATTATTAATACCGGGTCGCAGATTATGCGGTTTAATATTCACTTCCGAGAGCCGTTTTTAATTTTCATCCGATTTAATTTCCTTTAATACCTTGTGCTCGACGTCGTTAATTAATTTGAATGGAACATAAAAACGAAAATGTTAAATTAAAGCTGCCTTCAAATTTGTTTCATACCGTTCGTTACTCTTTTTATATTCCTACAGCTATATCAAATTTCATTACTAACTTGTTCAAAAGCCACGTTATCACTATAGATAAAAGCTCTGTATTCAATCTGTTTTTAACTCTCCTATATTCTTATTTAGGTGTAATATGCGTACATAATAAAATACAATACACGCATGTCTCGTTGAACGGTCACTAAATAAGGAACTGTAGAACATCATATATCATACGAACTCTAAGTGGATAGTGTATTTCAGTTTCGGGAATTGAATTATGAACAAAAAAATTGGTTTCCATTGAGAAGACTTTTGCAATTTACATCACAATACTCTTCCATTAATGATTCAATTAATGTTATATTTAATACTTAGGTATATTGTTTATACAAGACGCTATATCGAGTGTGCTGCAACAAATAGTCATAATTCCTTAAAATCATAATAGGTACATATTATATAATGTCTAATCGTCCAAGTCATCGACTCGTGTATATTTAATACATATTTTATACACGTGTATATCGATGGGAGCGATGCTATGTGCGCGTATAGTCCGACGAGGTGGCGATTTATTGCGCGCGGGGGGGGGCAGCGTGATGGGGGAGACATAAACTACCATCGTCGTCGTTATGGGGTTGGCAACACTGCGAATTACCGCTATATTCGCCGTGCCGGTTCCGCTCACAGCAGTTTTGATCTCGTCAGCTTGTAAAGCAAACCGTCCCCCCGCAATTAGTAGTATTATCGAACACGCACGCGCAGGGGTGGCAGCGGCGGCATTCGCAAGACGTTGCAAGATGTGACGCCGAGATTATTGCTGTATAACGCAGATACGTCGGGGGGTGTAGAAGGGGTAAGCGCGCCACGGACTACCGTGCGTGGGCGAGTGGTGGATGGCAGTGTTTCGATGGAGCAAGTGCGAATGGGGGGAGGGCGTTATAGGGGGACGGCCGACGAGTAGGTGCGGTGGCGGTGGTGGGCGCGCGCGCAGTCCAGATGGCGTCGTCTTAATGCGGTTATTAAAAACAAGACCGTCTAACGACCTTTGCAAAAGCCCGGGGGTTGATTAATGGCGAATACATGGACGCCTAAATACCGCGTAATTTGCAAATACACCGGCACAAACGGCCCCCGGACGCTCTTAATTACGGGCCGTTCCCCCCGCAAATGGTTTAACTTTATAATTAAAATCGCATACAGCGATATAATATAAAGTTTTAGCCCTTCCCTCTCCTCTCGCCGCCCCGTACCTATATATATACGTATATACATAATAGGTATATAATATATGTATAGTCGTGTATCGTTGCAGTATACGCGCCGCCTGTATACCCCCGGTAAAAACCCTTTTCCACCGCCGCCGTCACCGGTAAAGTCTACGAAATAATGGCTATGGTCTTAACTCTTTTAATTATGTGGAAAACGATAATATTATTATACACGGTTTATATATATATATTTAATTATATACACGTATGTATACGCGAGCAGTATAAGGAGTATACAATATACATATTATATTATATTCGATCCTAAATGCATACTCGTATTATATGGTCGCGCTGCAACCGTCCGTACACTCTGCAGTATATAGGTACTACTCGCCGCCAATCTCAAACAGTTTTTATTAATTTATCATACTGACTATACGCATATAATACACACAGTGTGTAACGGACTGCTGTTTAAAAAACGATTTCGGCGTTTGTCTTCGATGACTTTGTCTACCAATTCTTTGAATTTTCGACTTTTCAATTCAAACATATAAAATACCAAAAACTATATAATATGCTCGTACATATAACATCAAAACTTATCTCTTGTATTGTTATCGTTTTCCAGGTGTGGTTCCAAAACCGAAGGACCAAGTGGCGGAAAAAACACGCTGCCGAGATGGCCACGGCCAAGAGGAAGCAAGAAGAGGCCGCAGACGAGAGTGACGAAGACGAAGACATGCGTGACGACAGTGCGGCAAAACGGCTCAAAAGGGAATTGGCCGCACACTACGGAGGCGGCGGCGGAGGCGGTGGTGGCGGTGGCATCGGTGGAGGCATATAGCATCAGGCTTGGCCAGGCGTCGGTCATCCTGGCACCTTGGACCTGAAGACTCACGAATAAACCTGTTGAGATGCGATGAGTATCTACTTGTAGGTACATCTATAACCACGCACCCTGTACAATTCCGATGATGATGATGATAAATATTATTATTTATTATTTGTACATTTCTATACCCACTTATAAATACATAAATATTTTATACATAACTTCATTATTATATGTAATACATAAAACTTATGCCTATCCAAAATGTCTAGTCATCGCATAATTTTTTTTTTTTTAGGTATTTGTGCATATTATTGTTATTATATAAACATTTAGAGAGCAATATAATTACGGTATAGGTATCATAATATTATAATATTAAGTATAGCGCCGTGCTGCATATAAACTCCCCATCGGTCCTTATATTGTAATCTATAGCCGATATTATTTACAGAGATCATTGTGGTGGATGGACAGTTTTAAATTTTTATTTATATACGTCAAATCTTCGCGGTATATTCTGTATTTAATATACGTACTACGACGTAGTCCGCGCGGTGTGTGCGATTTTCGTTTTACGTTTTGTTCTTTTTGTTTATTCTGTATATCCCCCTCCAAATTACCGCATTGTATAGCGTTGTCCGCCCACAAGTATGCAACGCTTCGACGACGATCATTATTATTATTATTATCTCAATAATTAGTATTACTTATGTATGGCCTTTATTAGCTTTTTTTTGTCGCCAATCATTACTTTAATAATATATAATACAACTCTTACTTGATAATAATGGTACATATTATGTAATATACAAGTATGTTTATGTATATATATATATATATACAAAATATTAAAATAGATAAATACGTTTTTACGGTTTTGTTTACGGCTTGTAATATCTGTTGTATAATAATATGTCGGGAGTAAACGGTTTTAATAATATGATGATAACTTGTAATTACAATGTGAATATACTATGATATTATATCCCCCTTTAAATACATTGTATATATTATATTTAATGATTGTTAATAATATTATTTATTTAGCGAAGGTACGTTTGGATAATCGTTTGCACTTATACACACATGTACGGTTATACTTAATTTACCACTAAACCTTAAGTTAAACAAATCATGTAATCTTTAAACAAAAATAAGTGAAATGTTGATTTAAAAAGACATAATATTATTATATACATTGATGCGTTTTTATTTTTAACAATTATTAGTTATTACCTATCAAATATATCTAATTTTATTGTCTGTGTTTTTGCCTACTGGAGTGGCACTATGCGGTAAACAGTAAATAATTGACGGTGAGTTTATTTGTTTCCTACTAATGTACGTATTTATGAATAAAAAAAAAATAATACCAATTAACACATTTCAATGCATAAAATTTAATAATAATTATAATTATGCATAATTCATTGTACTCTTTACACTTTGCAAAATACAGACATAATATAATGTGATTTAATAAATATGTTGATAAAGTGTAATATTATATATTTATCATGTTATGAGTAGGTATTTATGATGTGCTGGATATAGAGTATAGACATTATTGGCTATAATCAAACTCGTAAATCGTAAATCTATGTGTTATTAAGCAATTAGTTTGAAACATTTATTAAGAATTATTCAAGATTACGACGAGTGACGAGGACGGAAAAATTTTGCGATCTGGTTCACAAATAAGTGTGTAGATACAACCATAATTTAATTTGTCTACGAAAACTACTCAAGAGTAATAAATAATAATAGTTACAATAATAACGGCCATTACTGGATACTTTCAAATCTCAATACTTCAACATTACATCAACTTCATTAGCATAATATATAGAATAAACATCAATGCATAATAGATAATATATATACTTGATAAAATTTCGATTTTTCATTCATTCAATATTTAATGTTATTCCTCTTCATAGCATTTATATTTACATATAATACAACTATAACGAATTCTACATTTAGTCAATGCCATTTAGTGAAATCATCAATAATACCTAGTAATAATAATACACAAAACATCAATAATCACTATGAAGCCGACTGATGTGTAATGTATAGGATAAGTTTTTGTATTAACGTAAGTTAAAGTATTAAGGCATCAAAAATAAAAATCTGAAGTTTTCATAAACAATTTTAGAGGTTTTATATACTGTTATATCCAGTCCAATAACCGAAAACACAAGTAAATTGATCCTATGGATTCTGTAGCTTTTCTATATGATGTATATAATCCTGTTAGTATAATAATGATGTGGATTTTTATTTATATATTTTTAACACAATAAATAAAATCGATTTGATTGTTTATGATTTAAAAGTTTTAAAGAACATATTCGTCATTAAATGTACTAAATTCAATTTTTTTTTTTTAATATAATAAAACAATAGTCACAGTCATTCGATAATCCGAAATTCAGAGGATCGAATTAAAAATTCGATTTATAGAAGTTTTTGATTTACCGAGTGTTTGAATAATCAAAGGAAAAAGTTAGTTCGAATTAAAGAGAAGTGAAAAATTATTGTATGTATATACACCATACACATTTCATTTATTTATTATATTTTACAATTATTAATTGACATTTATTTATTATATTATTATAGTTTACATATTAAAGTAATCTGTTTTTTTTTTTTTTTTTTTGTGATAAATTGCTGGCCACAATTTGATCCAAAGCATTGTCTAACTTACTGTTAACATTGAAAATTGTATTGCATCTTTTTTCGGCTATTTCAGATTACTCAAAAATTGACGTATCCTGACAAAAGTTTAGATTAGGTAGATAAGGTACGATAACGTTTATAAGCTATGATAATATTTACCCACTGTCGTTATTAGTATTGTTTTAGATTGTACATAATCTTTATATGTATGTACACTGTACATACATATGAACTTACATATAATTGTGTTTAAAGAAATTTGAATTTTAGAAGTTCATGGAATAACAATTCGAATTGTAGAGTGTGTCCCATCGACAGACATTTGGAATTATCGAGAGGACCGGAATACATTTATTTTATTTTAATTATAGAGGTTTTCTCAGGGGACTCAGCGTTTAGTTTGATTTATAGAGTTTTTCAAGTTATCAAGGTTCGAATTAACGAGTTATCGCTGTATTATTATATTAAAAATTATAAAAAAAGACCATTTCGAAATAGAAAAATTACCTTAACATTAAATAAAAATTTTGATTATAATTTTCAGCTATACTATTACAAAAAAAAAATATTTTATATTATAGGTTGTATTTGGTTTGCAATATGTCAAAAGTCTATGTTTAAGATTTATTACATGCTTAAAATTAGGTATATATAATTAACTATCATCAATTTATTTGTATACTTAAGATAACTTATAGGTTTAAGAAATGATAGAATAAAAAAAATAAATAAATAAAATAAAGTAATAATAAAAATTAAACGATTTTGAAATCTTAAAAATCAAAAGATTTTGCTAAAAAAAATGTGTTCCGTGCACTCAATATTTTTAATTTTACCTTAAAAATTACAACTTTCTTTACTTTTATTAAAATATACCTATATTAAAAATAAAAATATAACTAATAAACGTTGTTTATGTCTTTAATAATATTATGAAATCGTTGTTGAAAAGTACTTTTTCAAACTACGAAAGTTAAATTAATTTATTGACATATTTTTATGTTTCTCAAACATTACATTTTTCAAGAAACTAATTTATTATTTGTAAAATAATTTGTATCCCATGTAATCTTTAAGTACCTATGAACTTAAAAAAATAATTTCATCTTATTTAATGTATTTTCAAACAAATATATTCGTACATTACAGCATACAAGCAAGTTATAATATATAAATTATATAATAATATATTTGTGAATTATTGAAAGTAAATAAATATAATTTGGGAACAAATATATTTCAATATCGAATTTTTATTTTGATTCTATAAAAATGGTTTAAATTTTAAACACACATGAAGTGTAGAAAAATTAGTACTGTAAAGCATAAGCGTTGTCTATAACACTTATACATAATTGTTGAACCTTATGCATATTTGCTTTAGAAAATGTCAGTACTCTATTTGTCTACTCTCTCTCACTAATCCACGTAAATCATAGTAAATTTGCGTTTAGCAGAACCAATCTCGTATTGTCAGCTTTAATATTAAAGTGAATTAACCAATCTATTATCAAACTTAAAGTTGAGAACATTATCCTAGTTTGTGTATTGTCTGACATTATTCTATGATAATTGTATTTTTCTGAGATGTAAATGCATTCTTAGATTGTAATATTAAATACTCATAACATGTATAAAAATTAAAATAATATAAGACAACTTAAACAAAATCATAGTTAATTTCTCATTTAAAATTTAATAATAGGTCGACTCATACGATAATATTAAAGCCAACAACATTAGATTAATTCTAATGAATTCTAATTTTCTATGATGTGTATAAATCAGAGATGAAAAATAATAATGAGCTAACATCGCCTTGTCGTCCATTTATTCAAATTAAATGAGTACATATTATTTTATTTAAGAGTTTAAAGCGTCTATAATCGACCAGTGACGCTGAAAGATAATAATTGTGTTAACGCTAATTTGTGAAATTTGTAAGTTCTGTGAATACAAATTATATTCATGTTTATGTGCAGTAGCCAGTTTATATTATGAATAACTCGGAACAATTATTTTACAATAATTAAGTGTAACTATACAACTTAAAAAATGTGTTCTGCAATAAACGTTATTCTTTAAAAAGAAACACGTTTAAATAGTTTATTCAAGACTACCCAGTATCCATACAGTAAAATATTGTATATTATTTTTTGAGGTCACCGTCGCCGTGACTTTATTATTATAACAATGCTAGACACAGTTTGTTGTTTGTATTTGTTGTCGTTGAAGATGATGATATCGACTTTTGCTTTTATATACACTTATATATAAAATAAAAATATACATATATTTTTAGGTCTTTGTTGGATAGTGTTGTGTTATATGTGGAAACAGATTTCTCAATTGAATTAGAGAGAGGGCAATGTAGTGGGGTTCGTGGAGGGGAGGGATAAAGGTACATTTGGTCGAAAAACTGTCCATTTCATAAGTCGACAGTAGTCATGGTAACGGTCCGCACAGATTCTTATCGAATCAATTTCGGAATTCAAAAGGACTTATATCCTCACCTCCACCCAACCATTGATGCTCGGACACACGCGCGCGCCATTTATACCCTTGTAATACACCGTGCAACATTTTTATTCGCCGCTTTTTACCCCTTGGCATATATAATATATATATATTATAAATATCCACACAAGTACAAATTCCCAGTCCACACACAAAGTATTATTTTTATAAGATCGATCGTTTACACCGTATAGTTTTATCAAAAGTTTTAAAAAAATAACGAAATCTATTTTCTCCTCTCTTCAAAACAAGTAGATTTTAGGCCGATAAAAAAAAAAACATTAACCATTAATTTTAAATTTACTTGACTAAAATATCAATTGTGTAGTACACGAAACTATGTAGGTATATTTAATTTTGAGTGCTGCAAGACTTTTCATTTAGTCATTATTACCATATGTTTATTCTATAAACTTTTTATTTTAAACGCCAAGTTTACTAATTATATACATATGATTAATTTAGGTTGTTGGTATAACAAAACTCTCCTAGAGACGCTAAAAAAGGACCGCAAAGTTAATCTGCAGATGAAAAGTTTTGTTTTAGCCTTTTATTCGTGAAAACGAGTTGAAAACAAGCAACTCGTTATTTGATACA